CGTCTTCTCTTAGGTTACTATCTTTAAAACTGAGCAGCAAAAGTCTTGCCGAAGACTCTGTGGGGAGAAACCTGTAGAGTCCTTCATTATGCTACAGTTTTCTTTAAAAGGTGAAGTTTCTCAAAGTCAGGTACAGCTGTCGGACATAAATAGCTTCTTGAAGCTATAGCACATCTGGCCAAAAAGTCATTTTTTCATGTCTAGCATTTTCTAACTTTCTGAGTTGTTCTGTAAAAGCGTTATCATTCTTATGCTGTGCAAGGCAGACAAACCAAGACGAGTGATGGGGAAAAAACAATGATCACCGTTCCTATATAACTGCCATATGCTTTGCATTCCGGTAGCACAAGTGCTCATTATTCTGCTTTTCAGGGGTTCTACTCAACTTTTCTGACTCTTGGGCCAATGCATAAAGTGGGAAACCGGGTTATTCAAAGTACAAGAACAAACGCTGATGAGGCCTGCTACAGGAAATGGGAAGGGAGTGACGGCCACCAATTCTCTTATAACTGCGCTTCTCCTCCAAACCCTACTGGAGCTGCTCATTCCACGAATGAGTGGGTACAGATGGCCAGGTCACTACTTTACTGTCTGGCATCGGTAATCTGTTGTGAACTGCATTGAGCAGAGCCAGCACTTAGTGACATCCATGATTTCCTCTGTGTTACACCTGATGCTCGGACAACCACCAGGCCACCAGGAAACAGCCCGGTTGTTACATATTCACTCATGGAACAAATAAATGACAAAACCGTTGAAATGTGCCTGTCACTATCCTCGATACTGGAGGAGGAATGAAGAGGACCTTCCCTCGAGGAATTTAAGACCTAGTGAAGGACATAGATAATAACATGCTTGTAGCTGAAAAGGATTCATTCTTGGTTCCACTCTTTCCTGCTTCTCTTCATTCTTAGAAACGGAGAATTTTAGAATAACAGATGCAAGTTTGGCTGTGTGATTAACGTTCTCATGATAGAGACAGTTATTTCCACTTAAGAAAGAATGACTGTCACTCAAAAGAACTGCCATATGATCCAGCAATTCTAGGTATATATTTGAAGGAAACGAAATTATGATTTTGAAAAGATACCTGCACCCCCATGTGCAACAGCCAAGACAGAAACAACCTAAGAGTCCATCAACAACTGAATGGATAGAGGATGTGTCATAAATACCTACACAAAATGGCATATTTTCAGTCCTTAAAACACAAAGTCCTATCATTTGCAACAACATTGATGGACCTTGAGCGTGTCATGGTCAGTGCAATAAGAGAAAGACAAATACCGTAGGATTTTACCTATAGGTGGAATTTAGAAAAGATGAACTCATAGGAACACAGTACAATGGGTGTCCCAGAGGGTGAGAGCAGCGGGGAGATGGTGGGCAAAGGGTGAAAACTTCTGGTTATAAGGTGAATAAGTTCCAGGGTAGCTTGTTTCACCGTGCTTCACTTTACCGCACTTCACCCATACTGTGTTTTTTACAAACAAGGTTTGTGGCAGTCCTCTGTTCAGCAAGTCTAGTGGTGCCATTCTCCCAGCAGCATTTGCTCACTTTGTGCATCTGTGCCACATCTTGGTAATTCTTGTAATATTTCAAACCTTCTCACTATTATTATATTTGCTATATAATATATAGGGACATGATCTCTGACGTCCCTATTGTAATTGCTTTGGGAAACCAGAAACTGCCCATATGAGACCGTGAACTTAAATGCTGTATGGCTGCTCTACCAAACTGACTGTTCCCCATCTCTCCCCCTTCTCCGATTCCCTGAGACACAACACTATCGAAGCTGGAGGCCATTGTAGGGTAATTAGTTGGCATAAGTGTTCAAGTGAAAGGAAGAGTTGCCTGTCTTTCACTTTCAGTCAAAAGCTAGCAATGATTAAACTCAGGAAGACAGGTTGAGTGCCAAACAGCTGAGATGTGAAGGCAAAGTTCTTGAAGGAAAGTAAAGTGCTACTCCAGTGAACACATGAATAATAAGAAAGTGAAACAGCCTTATTGCTGACATGGAGAAAGTTTGAGTGGTCTGGGTAGAAGATGAAACGAGCCACAACAGTCCTTGAAGCCAAAGCCTAATCCAGAGTTAGGTTCACCCTCTCTCAGCGTTCCTGGAATTGGAGAGTTAGGCCCTAACAGAGGGTGGCTCATGAAGTTTAAGGGAAGAAGCCATCTCTGTAACATCAAAGCTCAAGGTGAAGCAGCAGGTGCTGATGTAGAAGCTGCAGGAAGTTATCCAGGAGATCTAGCTAAGATAATTTATGGAGGCGGTTACACTAAACAACCTTCTAAAGGGGAAGTTGCTATCTAGAACTTTCACAGCTAGAGAGGAGAAATCAATGCCTGGTTTCAAAGGCCAGGGAGACTCTCCTGTTAGAAGCTAATGCAGCTGGTGGTTTTAGGTCAAGGCCCACGGTAGGGTGCTTAAGAATCGTGCTGTCATTCAGAGCACAGGCAGAGTAGATTTAGCATATCTGTTTACAACATGGCTTACCAAAAAATGTAAGCCCACTGTTGAGAGCTACTCCTCAGAAAAAAAGATTCTTTTTCAAAATAGTACTGCCCACTGACCACACATGTAGTCACCCAAGAGCTCTGATGGAGATGTACAATGTTTGCGTGCCTGCTAACACAATACCCAGTCTGCAGGCCCTGGATCAAGGAGCAATTTTGACGCTCAAGCCTAATGTTAGAGAAGTACATTTAATAAGGTTATAGCTGCCATAGATAGTGGCAGATCTCATAGATCTCGGCACTGTCGATTGAAAACCTTCTGGAAAGGATTCAACATTACCAGGAGTTTGGAAGGTGATTCCAACCCTCATGGATGAGAGGTTCAAGACTTCAGTGGAGGAAGTCACTGCAGATGTGGTGGAAATAGCAAGAGAACTAGAATTAGGAGTAGAGCCTGAAGATGGGATTGAATTTCTGCCATCTCGTGAGGAGTTGCTTCCGATGAATGAGCAACGAAAGTGGTTCCGTGAGCTCGTCTCTACTCCTGGATGACAACAAAGGATTTAGAATATTCCTTTAAGTTAATTGAGAAGGCAGTGACAGGGTTAGAGAGGATTAACTCCAATTTTTAAAAAAGTTCTGCAGCTAAAATGTTATCAGAGTCGATCTTTGTCCTATTTTAGGAATCGCCACAGCGACTCCACCCTTCAGCAACCACCACTCTGATCAGTCAGCAGCCAAAACATGGAGGCAAGAACCTCCATCAGCAAGAAGATTATGATCTGAAAGCTCAGGTGATGGTTAGCATCCTTTTTAAGTTTGTATTTTTTTTTTAAGTATTTATTTCCGTCATCTCTACATTATGGGGCTCACACTCATGACTCAGGGATCAAGAGTTGCACACTTTTTGAGTCAGCCAGGTTCCCTGATGGTTAGCTTTTCTTTTCTTCTTTCTTTCTTTCTTTTCTTTTCTTTTCTTTCTTTCTTTCTTTCTTTCTTTCTTTCTTTCTTTTTCTTTCTTTAGCAAGTATGTACTTTGTGGTTTTCAGACACGATGCTATCGTACCTCGATTACAGTCTAGTGCTCGCCTTGTTGAGATACTTACTTCATCGTAGTCTGGAACTGAACCTGCACGATCTCTAAGGTATGCCTGCTACGTACAGCATGGTCACAAGTCAACAATACTGTACTATATGCTTGGGAGTTATCAAAATATTATATCTTAAATATTCTCCCTATACACATACACACGAGTTAATTATGTGAGGGGCAGATGTGCTCATTTTCTTGGGATACCATTTTGCAGAACATACATGTATCAAATCATCATGCTATATACCTACCTAAAGCTTACACAATGTTATATGTTAATTATATAGCAACACAGCTGGGGAAACGATATGCCAATGTTCACCCTCATCACCCTCCTGAGAACAGGAACCATGGGGCACATGGGTCCCCTCAGGAGACCACAAGAGAGAAAAGGATTTTTGGACTGCCTTATCTGACTGACTCTCTAAAGATTAAAGATGTACAAAAGGTAAACAGTTTGCACCACATCCCAGAATTTGTGCTTGTCTGTGATATTCAAGGAGTACGATGGTGCTGTTTACCTTCTAGACATTGCAGAACGCAAGGCAGAGTTATACCATTTCTCCAGTTTTTCCACCGAGGTAAAAGTTTGTAACCGCCTGAGCCTACGCTGCAATAAATGATGTGACAATCACAGTAAAATGAGATTAAGAATCATTAGGGAACTTGTGTTCACTACCAGAAGTTAAGTGCTAGTAGACAGCATTAGGCTTGGTTGTTTGGCCATTGTTATTTGGCTTTTCTACTGTGAACAGAAACATGGAACTCTTTTCAAGAGAAGTATTTCAGTGATGGCATTTTGGCTCTTTGGTAGTCAGGGACACCAGTGCTTGCTATCTTCATGTTCTTTCCAGAGTTACCTCCAAGTTTAAGGCCAGCCACCTCATGTTTCCAAGACAGCTGCCGGAGTGCCAGCCCTTAGACACAAGGCCAGACGAAGTTAAAGGGGCAAATCTCCAAATGAGTCAACTTTCTGAAAAGATAGGTAATGTCCCATGCTACCTTTTCACTAATATTAACCAGAACTTACTTAAATGGTCACATCTCATGCTGCCTTGCAGGCTGGTAAATGTAGGCTTTCAGCTGGCTACTTGCAATAAAACTGGAATTCTGATAAGAACGGGGAGAATGCCTTGGGTAAACAACTAGAAGTCTAGACTCCACCACCTGTGGAAAACTGCCAATGTATTAAGAGCAGAAAATACTGGGGCGCCTGGGTGGCGCAGTCGGTTAAGCGTCCGACTTCAGCCAGGTCACGATCTCGCGGTCCGTGAGTTCGAGCCCCGCGTCGGGCTCTGGGCTCATGGCTCAGAGCCTGGAGCCTGTTTCCGATTCTGTGTCTCCCTCTCTCTCTGCCCCTCCCCTGTTCATGCTCTGTCTCTCTCTGTCCCAAAAAATAAATAAATGTTGAAAAAAAAAAAAGAGTAGAAAATACTCATCATTTCACTGTGCGAATGAGAGGGTTATATTCACTTGAGTATACTATCTATATACAATACTGGGAACTCCTGGGTGTTTGAAAAGTGGGGGTATTTTTTTTTCCTTCTCACTGCCCCAGATGCGGTTATGTGCTCCTTCTCTTCAGCAGAGTTTTCTTATCAATTGATAATTTTGTCCTAAAGGGACAAGAATCCTACAGCTGTATGGATTGTACGTATTGTTTTGCTTCAACCTTAATTATAATGTTTCCCCATGCTGTCTGTCTGTCTGTCCAGGTGTTGTTCTTCAACCTGCTAGATTCTTCTTAAGAGAATGCAGGTAAGGATTGTGCTCTTTCCAGAGCTCTCCTTTATTTTTTTTTTTTTTTTGTTCCTGTCCCCTTATTCTTAATTAGCTTATTTCTCAAACATCTACTGAGAGCCCATTATATCTGGCCTTCAGCTGGTAATAAGATTTATTTTTCATCTCTGTGTTTCTTTACCATCCATGTCCTTCCCATCTAGTTGTGGAGATGTCAAGGGAGCACGTTGAGCTCGTTTTCCTAAGTGCTCAAGAGATTAGAGGGATTGGGGGAGACAGGGTGCAAAGGAGGAGTACCCAGGCATGTCTGGAGGAGGGGGAGCAGCCTTCAGAGAAGAGGCATTGCTTGGTGTAGGGGCAAACAGTTTAGAGACTTTCTAGACTGTCTTCCAGACAGAACACAGCACCGGCAAGGACAGCACACTGTTTGAGATGGACAGACTGTAAGATGTGACAGGAGAAGGGGCTCATGATGATTGTCTCCTTTCTCAGAGAACACGGAGGCTGTGAGGTACAACACTCCCAACCCCCATCTCTATCCACCTTTATTTCTTACCGTGGCTTCTCCACTTCCCATGCCCAACAGAATTGTTGACCCCCAATTTCCTTCGGAGTCAGTCTCCTGCTTCCATCCCCACATTTGTCCCTCTGTCCCTTTTCACCTGGGTGGTTATGCAAGTCTCCTCACTGTTTCCAGCCTTCGCCACCTTTCCTGCTGGCTTACACCTACCCTCCACCCAGCCAAAGGAGCGACTTATCTGATTCTATAAAACAAACACTTCGGTAGCTCCCATGGCCCCAAGGCAAGTTCAAATTCCTTAGCACAGTACAGGTGGTTCTTCTTACCTCTGGCTACCTTCTCAGCCTTGATGCTGAGACACAGGCAAACACTGTGAAACACCGGCCATGGGCTCACAGTGCAGAGCCTGTTCCAGGGAGGTGGCCCCAGGCTGGGCTTGGAGGGACCCACACCATTTTTCAACTCCCACTGGCTGGAACTCAGACCTTTGGCCCCACCAAACTGCAAGGAGGGGTGGGTGGGGGCATAAGATGTTGCTGCAAGCAGTCTGCCCTAGAGCCCCCTTTTCAGCTTTGTCCTTTTACCTTCCACACTATAAAATTTCCCGGACTACCTTGGTAACAGATTTTTCCTATTTCACAAATTTGTTTTACGAAACTACTAAGTTAGTAATACTGCCTTTTTTTTTTTTTTTTTTTTTTTTTTAAGAGGGCTTCATGCCCAGTGTGGAAGTGAACATAGGGCTGGAACTCATGACCCTGATATCAAGACCTGAGTTGAGATCAAGAGTTTGGAGGCTTAGCAGTTGTTTGTTTTAAGTTTAGTTATTTATTTTGAGAGAGGGGGGCGGTGGGGAGAGAATCTCAAGCAGTCTTCACACTGTCAGCACAGAGCCTGACCTGGACTGGATACCACAATCTGTAAGTTCATGAGCCAAGATCAAGAGTCAGATACTTAACTGACTGAGCCACCCAGGTACTCGTTGGGGAGGGGGGATCATTTGTTCTTATTGTTCACTTTAGGCTTCAGTGTCTGGTGCTATTGATTTTCCTTAAATAATTATTGCTAACACTTCCTTACTGTGTATCGGGTACTGTAAGCATTTATTTAAAACGCTTTTCTAAGATAGGTTCTATTATTTGCCCTAGTGTACAGATGAGGAAACTGAGGCACAGAGTGTTAGGTTACTGGTCCAAGATCACACAGCTTGATAACTGGATCCGAATCCAGGCAGTCTGACCGCCCCCCCCCCCCCCGATTGTATGGTATACTACTTTTCAAGTGTGCAGTGCGTTTTGGATATATGTTTAAGGTTAAAAATAAGCATTGAATTGATTAATTTAGGTGGTCCATGGAGGTTTCTTCCACTTTTGTGTAAGGGGAGGTCAAACCACAATGACCATTTTTAATGTGCTCCACTCTGACATTTTTCCTTTCCATTCTCTGTGCAACTTTCTAATACTTCAAGGGGAAACAGAAGCCCCCATATGCGAGCCATTGCACAATTCTATAGAATACTTGTAACCAGTCACACAATTAAGAAAGAAGAAAATCCTTAGAAGTTGTCAATATGTGGCTCATTTTATGGTGGACACTAAATATTTAAATAAATTCAATGAATCTACTTGTAATTATGGTCTGAGTAATCTATTTTATGGCCCAAATTGTAGACAGTATATTTCTATAGTCCTAAGCTAGCAAAATGAACTTAGATCCAATTATAAACATTTCCATATCCCTAAACTAATGTGATGATTTTAGATCTGCAAAAGACTCTGAAAATAACTCCTGTGTCCTTGTCTCCACTTGGTGAGACTTTGAGACCTGTTTTCTTTTTTGCGTTCTAGAAAACACTCCGCTCGTTTTTTAAGGACGATTTCAGCCTTCCAGTCCTTTACAGCAAAGGATAAAAATAGGAATTATTGTACAATCATTAGAATAAGCACAATCTGGACAGGAATCTGTTCAACACTGTGTCCTCGTTTTGTGGCACAAAGCTGACATTCGAGAACCATTTTTGATAGGTTCTGCCTCACCTTTTCCGTTCACAGGTCGGTGGCAATGTCAGCGGGGCGAGTCGTTAAGTTCTCACAAGATGGCTCTGGCCGACTGTGGTTTTGATCATTAGTGCTTCTGGCCCTGCTTTTAATCAGCAGCACTGAACACTGGCCCCAGGGCCTTGCCAGAGAGCAGGCCTTTTAACGGTCTCCTTCTCACCTCTTATTGAAGGCTCTTGACAGAAATATTGAAGGACAAGTGTTTAAAGGATCTGTGGTCAATGCATTCCTTACTGTGACCTTTCCGTGGATTGAAAGCTCTGAAGTCTTTCCCCAGATACATATACTTAGAGCCCACACACAGAAAATGGTGTCTACAATTTCAGAGACCTGCTTCCTCTCTGAAGCACATATTGACCCTAGAGAATCCAGCCTATGATAACAAACAGCCTTCAGGCTTCAATTTTGCCAATTCTAATAAATTGGTAGTGATGGCCCAGGGCACTTGTTTGGAAAATCAGCCCATTTTGGCCTTTGCAGAAAAGAGTGCGATGACCTGGTTGTACACGCTATGTACACGGGAGGAAAGTGCCAGGCCTGCTAATGGGCTATATTTGTGGCAACCTTTTTCTGTCAGTTAAGGTACACTATCAACAAGCTGTGTATGTTTTCCACATGCTTTCCCATTTCTCCAGCAAACTGCTTCCTTTGAGTTGGATTTAGGCATTATGCCCTCATGTCGTATGAAGGCAAAAAAAAAAAAAAAAAAAAAAGGTTCCTGTGCGACCTGCTTACCTGTCAATTTTTGTTGTCAGAATTTCATAAGGAATACTGGCCACCCCAGGTCAGTTAAGTCCCTGTCAAACCGAGGTGTCAGGAAAAGCTTTGCTTCACTGGAGAATGCTATGCTTTCACGACAATGACTATATACGAATGATATAATATACGGTTGCTTTCCACTTCAGCTTTGAGGAATATCAACTTGATGGCAGTAATCATCCAGGGCCCAAATTCAGCCTCCAATAGTACTAATTTTTGTTGATAGACTTATTGATAGATCTATCAGTCTCTCTCCACCGATCCGTCCTTACAGGCCACTTCGAATCATTGGTGGCACAAGGCAGGATCTTTAAAAATAATAAGAAAAATAGCTCTCCTCTTTTGGCTTCAGACCATTAAATTCACTGCTTTAAGACCAAAGACTAACAAACACAAGCCATTAACAGATTAGTATATCCATCTAAGTCACTGGTATACAGTTGGGGTCTTCTTTTTGTCTCCTATTCCCTCCTTCCAGTAGGACTAAATGGACTTCTTCCTATAGACAGAGTCTAGTGTGAAACCCTGACAGGTTTTTTTCTTTCTTTGCAGTGCAAGTGCTCGACTTCAGCTTTAATTGCCAAGGCATCCATCACAAAGAAGGCTCTCCTTCAAAGATGGCGACCTCCAAGAAACACATGGTCAGCCCCAGGACAAGACAGAGCCAGGCTACCTCACCCCACTGAGCCTCCTTGGTTTCAGAGAACTCGATTTCAATAACTGACCATTTGGGCCACGTGCCTTTTCTTTTCTCACCTTTTTTGAAATTCACCAATAGTGAGTGAGCCCCTGAACCCTAGGCCCCTACTCTCCACCCCAGTAAAAGCAGAACCTCTGGCCTGTGCATGCTGTCCCTCTATCTGTGACCTCATTGTGGGGCCCCCGGTGCATAGGGTAATCTCCACGTCTCGCAAGTCAGAAATCTCTATCTTTTCAAAGTTTCCTGATGGTGGTTGCTACAGAGCATCTTGCAATCATAGTACGAACCACAAGGGCTGATCCACCGACAACACTGGTCATTGATAGGCTGCGAATGTGCTAAAACAACCTATGTCAGCAGGACTGCACGGTTGCTCTTGCAATCAGCTGAGGGGAATGCCCTTTACCTGTTGTTTGCTCACTAGCCCTCCAACTCAGGGAACTAACCATCTGGGAAACTGAGCATGCTTGCCGGGGGTCTGTGGCACTGCTATGTGCTCTTACGTATTGCCTTCGCGATATGCTCCCTGCGGTATCCAACCCAAAGAGTCCTGATACAGTTACGAACAGTCTCTGCAGAGTGATGTGATCAAGGTCATAGGCCTAATGAGACATTAATTACAAAGTCCTTGAAGTGCCGGGTGGCTAAGTGGGTTGAGCGTCTGACTCTTGGTTTTGGCTCAGGTCATGATCCCAGGGTCCTGGGAAGGAGCCCCTCGTTGGGTTCTGCACTGAGCCTGAAGCTTGCTTGAACTTCTCTCTCTCCTTCTGCCCTTCTCCCTCACTCTCCAAAAAAAAAAAAAAAATTCTTTTAAGTCCCTAACTAACATAGGAAAAGGTCTCCCACACCTTAAGGCTAAGGAGGGTAGATTAGATTGCAAGGGTATTACTGCAATAAAAAAACCAGTGAGGGAAACCAGAGGGAAAACACAACAGAGGCCTTGGTTTTTGTATCACCACTTCACTCACTTCTGTCAAGCTTCATCCCTTGAGCCAGTTATGAGTTCAATTACTGGCATTATGAGTTTAAAAAAATTAATGGAAAAATACAAATATATAAACAATAATGGAAAAACATAAATGTCCTGGACATCTGGTGCCAGCACCTACTAAGAATCCTGAGGAGGTAGAGCAGCCCTTCAGGACATGCAAAAGGCCCAGGGATGTTTCCGGGTGTCATTCCAGGCCGGACCCGTGGACATGCTAAGACTCTGAGGGTTGAGCTCTGGAGGCCTAGGGGCTTTCTCACACTAGCAGAGGCAGAAGCAGAGCCCAATCCCAGGGGGGTGAGGGTCGGGGGTTGTCTCATGTGATCCTGGGATGAAAAGCAGCTGCCTGTGAAGAGGCCTCACTGATGTCATCCACATTTTTCCAGTAACGACGTCCAAGATTAAAGGAGCAACAACAGCAAAAAAAAAAATCAAGAAATAGACTGAAATTAAACTAGGCCCTGAAATTCAACCCTTTCTTAAAGACTTTATACCACGGGAAGGAGAGAGGGGAACTAATTGACTCTGGTAAGTTTTCTTCTTCCTATGATAGGGCTCCGGATTCTTATTCACAGCCGCAAAAACGGGTCAACGGATAGCTACCTCCCAAGACTCTGAAATCTATAACTTTATTAAAGATTCATCCAGGCTCTATGCTCATTTCCTTCCATCACAGTGACCATGGCTAAGGCTCACAGTGAATGGAAAACATTAAGATGAGGCCCAGCTCCTGCTGGGCCAAACTGGCATAATCCAATGGGTTTATCATTTCAATGAACCTAGTGACCCCAACGACCACATCTTCATTTCCAAGCTAGAAGAAGCCCCCTCTGACCCCGAGTCCAGAGAAGTATTCTTTACAGGGCACTCCCTAGTCTAGTTCCAGGCTGCATTACTGCGTTTTAATTGGGGGTCGTCCAAACTATCCGCAAGGCCTAAGAGAAAACCTGCACTCTTTTTCTGCCCCTTGAAGATGTAAACCTTATGCCGCCCTTGAAATGGAAATACACCAGAAGGTCTGAAACAATGTCCACACTGGTCTGAGAGGGAGGGAGGAAGAAAGGGTAGGAAAGAAAGAGAGGCCTTTTTAAAACACAAGCTGCAGATAAAGACTCTCTAGCCCAGACTCTTGATCACAGCCTCCTTCAGATTACTTCCAGGAACAAATACAAATTGTAAAAGTCTTCTCTACAAATAGTATAAAAGATGGTAGCCACCTGAGCAGGTAAGCTTAACTGATTCCATTGGCCAGAAAAGCAGTTTGATTCCAACCGTTCTTTTTACAGACTACTGAGTTTTGCACATTTGTACCCATCTCATGGCGGAAAATTCAAAAACCTTAACTGTACGCTCTCTGTATGTGTCTTCCTGTAGGTTCGTGTGTTGTAGATACGTGATATTTTTCTACCTCTGAACGATACTGCCAAACTTAACTTGTAAAAGAGCTCGACTTAATTGTCTTAAAGAAAATTAAGGGCTTATATAAATTGAATATTCACAAAAATTCTCCAATAAAAACAAGCCAGTGAATTTCAGGTTCATGTGATCTGGGAATACATTCGGTAGTAAAGCTAATTTAAGTTGGCTGGTTTGATTAAAACAGACATACCTTCAAAATTATCAGCGTTAAATATAATGCAGATAAATAACTACCTGGGTTTACTAGTTGACTACATGTACTCTCTGTTGCAAAACGGGTCAGCAAAAATTGTGAACAATGGTTGACCGTAATGTCTCAAAGTTTTTGTGGGTAATTTACACATAATTGTTAAGAAGAAGTAAATTGAATAGATGTAAATAAGATTAAAAGTTGACCCCCAAACTTTTAGTTTTTCCAAATCTTTTTGGCAATCTGAAACCTTACTGTTTTGCTAAGTTAAGTAAATTCGCTGAATATCTAGATCATTTCTAAATAAGACAGAATAGTGAAACATTAATTCCTGCACATAGGGAAGCCAAGAGTAGATAAACCTATTACCGAGTAACTAAAGATAAAATTTGGGTTTGTTAGTAAACATATTTTGTGCTTTATTGAAAGATGATGATTTCTAGAAATATATGCTTTAAAAAAATTGTTTTTTTACATTTATTTTTGAGAGAGACAGAGTACAAGCGGGGGAGGGGCAGAGAGAGAGGGAGACACAGAATCCGAAGCAGGCTCCAGGCTCTGAGTTGTCAGCACAGAGCCCGAACTCACAAACTGTGAGATCATGACCTGAGCCAAAGTCAGATGCTTAACCAACTGAGCCACCCAGATGCCCCTGTGCTTTTTTTTATAGTACAAAGTATTTGTTAGTTTGCCAATTCACAGACCACTAATGTAAAAGTTCACAATTCTGATTTTCTTAGTTAAGCTTCCTAAGACTTCAGAATTCTAATTAATATGTGTGGCTAACACTACTAAAAATAATAAGGGAAACTACTCTGTATACAAGAAAAGTAAGGTGTGTGCTTTTGGTAAAAGAAGGTATGAGGAATGGAAATGCATTTTTGTTGAGGGAAAAGTAACAGTGTTCTAAAGGGAGTCTGGGAAAGAGGTAAAACAGGGTAAAATTTCAATGTAAACAAGAAAGTTGTTGGCTTATGAAAAAGGAATCTTTGGGAAGGAATTTTATGTGTGGTCAGGAAATTTAAGTAAATGAGTTTTAACATTGAAAGTATATTTGTGGGGTGCCTGGGTGGCTCAGTCGGTTAAGTGTCCGACTTCAGCTCTCGATCTCGCCGTCAGTGAGTTCGGGCCCCGCCTCGGGCTCTGTGCTGACAGCTCAGAACCTGGAGCCCGGTTCAGATTCTGTGTCTCCCTCTCTCTGTGCTCCTCCCCTGTTCACGCTCTGTCTCTGAGAAATGAATAAACTTTAAAAAAAAAGTATATTTGTGTGGGACAAAACAGAAGAGACTCATATATATATGGAGAACAAATTGAGGGTTACTGGAGGGGTTGTGGGAGGGGGGATGGGCTACATGGGTAAGGGGCACTAAGGAATCTACTCCTGAAATCATTGTTGCACTATATGCTAACTAATTTGGATGTAAATTTAAAAAAAGAAAAAAAAGAAAGTATATTTGTGCAAAATTAGAATTTGGTGCAAATTTAAAATTAGATTTTTCTCTCTGTTAAAAGGACAAAGTATTCTTGAACTATTATTGGTCTGTTCTTGATAAAAGATTGTAAAAGTTTTTTTATCTTTTAAACTTACCTTCCTAGAAAACAAGGATTCTGTGTTTAATCAGGTCTTTGATTAATCCCAATCTTCTTCATAGTAAAAAACCTAAGTTTTGCTTAGAATTATGTAACCTTATTTGCCTGTGAAGTCTTTGTCACTTTGGTCAAACAGATAACTAAGTATTGTTTCATGGTGACCTATGATTCTTGTTTTAAAATCTTTTTGACATTTTGACAAACTTTCCCAAATTCTAAATTCAGTCTTTGCATTTAGGGGACTTTGGAACAGTCTAGAACGTTCCTGGAAGATCTCAAAAGATTTGTTAAAGTAATTAAGCTTATTTGGTATGATAAATTACGTGTGAAGCATCATCAAACAGATGATGCCAACCAGGTTAGATTTCATTCATGTGGATATATGTTATTAAAATGTTACAGGGATTGCATGAAACTCCTAGCAACTTAATATGTCCTTGGATGTTACCACTTATAATTAGTTATCTTAAAATGTTGTGTACCACAAATGAAAACTCCAATTAAAAGGGCAGAAGACAGGAATAGACGTTTCTCCGAAGAAGACATCCAGATGGCCAACCGACACATGGAAAGATGCTCAACATCACGCGGTATCAGGCAAAAGCAAATCAAAACCACAATGAGCTATCAGCCCACACCCGCCGGAGTGGCTAAAGTCAACAACACAGGAAACAACAGTTGTTGGCGAGGATGCGGAGCAAAAGGATCGCTGTTGCCCTGTTGGTGGGAATGCAAACTGGTGCAGCCACTCTGGAGAACATTATGGAGGTTCCTCAAAAAGTCAAAAATAGAATTGCCCTATGACCTAGCCATCACACTACTAGGTGTTTACCCCAAGAATACAAACACACTAATTCAGAGGTATACATGCACCCCAAAGTTTATAGCAGCATTATCTATAATAGCCAAACTGTGGAAAGAGCCCAAGTGTCCACCGACTGAGGAGTGGATGGAGGT